TCTCCCTAAATGAAACCGAAACCGTCCAGTCCCCGGGCGCTTTCGGGGTCTGGGTCCCCGCGGGTCCCTCAGCCTGGGGTGGCCCTCGGCCCGGGGTCCTGGGAGCCCTGACGACCATCGTGAGGGACGTGAGGGGTCGGGACCTCCGATTGGGGCCCGAGTCACTCACCGCCCGCGCTCTGGTTGTAGTAGCCGCGCAGGGTGTTGAGGCTCCTTCGGTCAGTCTGTGCCTGTCTCTTGGCGTTACGTGTGTTCCGCTCCCAGTACTCGGGCCCCTCCTGCTCTATCCAAGGCGCCCGAGGCTCCATCCTGGGATTCTCGGCGTCGCTGTCGAAGCGCACGAACTGCGTGTCGTCCACGTAGCCCACGGAGATGAAGCGGGGCTCCCCGCCGGGCCTGGACACGGAGGTGTAGAAATACATCAGGGAGTGGGAGCCTGGGGAAGGGAGCCGCTGAGACCCCAGGATCCTCTTCCAGGCGCCCGACCCAGGTCCCAGGTTGACGAAGACAGGAGGAGAGGAGCGGGCTCTAGATGCGCTAAGGGGGCGGTGGGACACGGGAGGACAGGACTTAGAGGCAGTAGTGAAAGGTCAGGATGAACGGCGCCAGAGTGTTGAGAATCTGGGCGGAGGGCGACGGGGACGGGGCTCTCCCGAGTCCTGCATGCTGACAAGAGGGTGCCCTTGCTCTTCCCTCACCGAGGCCATTTCCCTCCCTACCCCGCACTCACCCGCCAAGGTCTGGGTCAGAGCCAGGGCCCCTGAGAGTATCAGAAGCAGCGTTCGGGGCGCCATCACCCCCATCCTGCAGCTCTGTGGAGATCTGGGACTTGGCTGGCGGGTGGGGACTTTAAAACTAGAACTACAATGACGCTGATTGGCTTCTCTAGGAGGAAGACACACAATGGGAGTGAGACCTGGGGCTGCGTCAGGAGTGTCCAGGCAGAACGACCTGACAGGGGTTGGGAGAAGAAGAAGTGAAACTCCAGAGAGAAGAAAATCCCCAGTGCTCAGTGTCCACACCATAGCCCTGCCTAGACCCTGAGAGCCACGCCCAGGGCTGGGACTTTCTCCTGTACACTCCTCTGTACTAAATACTCTTTGTCACACTGTCCCCTGTTTCCTGCCTAAGGGGGTAAAGTCAGTAGTTTTCAAATGTTTTGGTTTCAGTATCTTCACATGCTCTTAGAAAGCAGTGTGCACTCCAGAGGTGATCTGGCTAATGTGGATTATGTCTATCAATATTTACCATATTAGAAATTAATTCCATGTTAAAGATATGTTATTCCTTCTGAGAATTTATAATTAATTGCATGTTAACAAATGGTTGTTACAAAAAGAAATAACTGTTTTACAAAATTAAAAGATTTAGTCTTAAGACTTAATGTTTTTTCCGTTTTACAAGTTGAAAGTCCTTTCTATTTGTCATAGAGAATGCTAGATATCATGTGTTTTGCATTTACCACCTGACTTTGAAACAACAACGAAAAATGCAGCCTCCATATTACCAAAAGCACTCTACAGATTCAACCAATTCCGATCAAAATCCCAACGGCATTCCTAACAGAAATAGAAAAGGCAATTATGAAATTCATCTGGAAAAAAAAGAAACCCAGAATAGCTAAAGCAATTCTAAGCAGGAAGAATGAAATAGGTGGTATCGCTATACCAGATCTTAAACTATACTACAGAGCAACAGTAACAAAAACAGCATGGTACCAGCACCAAAACAGGCTGGTAGATCAATGGTACAGAACAGAGGACACAAAGACTAACCCACAAAATTCCAATTATCTTATATTAGACAAAGGTGCCAAAAACATATTGGAGATAAGATAGCATCTTCAACAAATGGTGCTGGGAGAACTAGAAATCCAAATGCAACAAAATGAAATTGAATCCCTATCTCTCACTGTGCACAAAAGTTAACTCAAAATGGATCAAGGATCTAGGAATCAAACCAAAGACTCTCCATCTAATAGAAGAAAAAATAGGCCCTAATCTCCATCATGTGGGATTAGGCCCCAAGTTTCTTAATAAGATGCTATAGCACAAGAATTTAAACCAAGAATCAATAAATGGGACGAATTCAAACTAAAAAGTGTTTTTTTTTTTTTTCTCAGCAAGAGAAATAATATATGAAGTGAATAGGGATCCTACATCCTGGGAACAAATTTTTACCCCTCACACATCAGGGTATACAAAGAACTCAAAAAGTTAAACAACAAAAAAATAAATGACCCAATCAACAAATGGGCCAAGGACCTGAGCAGACACTTCTCAGAAGAGGATATACAATCAATGAACAAATAAATGAAAAAATGCTCACCATTGCTAGCAATCAGAGAAATGCAAATTAAAACTACTCTAAGACACCATCTCACTCCAGTAAGAATGGCAGCCATTATGAAGTCAACCAACAACAAGTGCTGGAGAGGATGCGGAGGGCGGGATGTACATTGCCTGTGGGACTGCAAATTGGTGCAGCCAATTTGGAAAGTAGTATGGAGATTCCTTGGAAAACAGGGAATGGAACCACTATTTGACCCAGCTATTCCTCTTCTCGGACTATACTCAAAAGACCTAAAAAACGCATACTACAGAGACACAGTTACATCAGTGTTCATAGAAGCACAATTTACAATAGCTAGACTGTGGAGCCAACCTAGATGCCCTTCAGTGGATGAATGGATAAAAAAAAAATGTGGCTTATACATGATGAAATATTACTCAGCACTAAAAAATAACAAGATCATGGCATTTGCAGGGAAATGGATGGCATTAGAGCAGATTATGCTAAATGAAGTTAGCCAATCCCCCAAAAAACAAATGCCGAATGTCTTCTCTGATATAAGGGGTGTGACTCAAAATGGGATAGGGAGGAAGAGCATGAGAAGAAAATTACCTCTAGATAGGGAAGAGAGGTGGGAGGGAAAGGGAGGGAGAAAAGGAATTGCATGGAAGAGGGAAGGAGACCTCCTTCATTATAGAGAATACATGAATGATGATGTGAGGGAAAAAATAAGAAGTGGTCACATTAGATTGGGTAGAGAGAAGTGATGGTAGGGGAGGGGAGGGGAAGGGGGGAAAGGAAGGACAGCAGAATAAAACAGACATTATTATTGCTGTGGGTATATATGTGACTGCATGACCAATGTAATTCTGCAACCCGTACACTCAGAAAAATGGGAAATTATACCCCATCTGATTCAAATGTATGATATGTCAAGATCATTGTACCGTCATATGTAACTAATTAAAAGAAAAAAGAAAAAGAAATATGCAACCTCAGAGAAGAATCAGGAAGAATGTTTTTAACAACTGTGGCTATTGTCTTTGATACAAACACCAACTTGATACAAGTGTTAGCTTCTTAAATGTTCTTTGCCATATGGACCCTGAAACATTACCATGGTATAGTTCATATTCTGTTGTATTAAAGTCTGTGGGTGTGTCTTGCACATTGAATGGATCTTATGCTAATGCGTGATATTTTTTATAGTCAGGCACTGTTTGTCCAAGTTTTATATATATATACCTTCTACTGTTAACATACTTAAATGCAAATAATCAAGAGGTCCAATGTAGATATTTTTACAGATTTACGAGAAAATATTGTAGGTACTTGGGAGTCTGTCAGGTTGATAGTGGTGAATGCAGGTTCTCCTAGATTCTGATATTCTCTTGAGAGCATACATTTTATCATCAAAAATATTGCTATCTGTGATTATCTTGAAGGGATAGACTCAGTTCATATTTTAGAATTTTGGCCAAATATTGAAGTCTAAGGAATGTTTTCTCTGACATTCATTCTTTGAAGCAGGAATGGTATTCTCACCCCCCCCCCCAAAAATGGGGCTATTACAACTCACCACATGGCTTTTGTTGACACACACATCCTACTTTCAAATGTAGCAAATGTGTTTTATGTGTACTTCCAATTCTATCAAGTAAGTGTATTTATAATGTGGATTCTGGAATGGCAATTTAATAAAGTTAATGATTTTTAACACTTCAATCAGGACATGTTTAAGTGAACTTGCCTGTTTTCCCTTCTGCTGTTACAATGTGCTCAAGAATACAGTAACTACTATTGCAGTTTAGTACCAGAGCTTCCACTTTGATACTTACTTTGGTGTAAGTAATGCTTTAGTGATATTATAAAAATATTTTGGATCATATGGATCCTGTGCAATCATCTGAACTCCTCCAAGAGTTCCACAGATCACACGTTGGCAACTGCTGCTCTGTGTAAACTGTGGAGAGATCCCAAATGGTTCAAATTTCTTTGCTTGATTGTATGCCACTACTCTCAGTAATTGCAACAACCTATAAAAGACATGGTATTTGTGAGTAAGTAATGAAATTATGCACAATTAGGTGAAGAAGAAAATCCAAAAATAAGTTCATAGAAATTAAAAACTGGTTAAAGAAATGAATAATTCTATAGATGATTTGGACAATTAAAATAGTCCCAGAAAAGAATTAGCATGGTGAACTGTTTGAGGAGGCTCCTGGGAGCCTGTGTGCCTTTCACCTGCAATAGCCACCCTTCTAGATGTCCGCCACATCTGCACTGCTGACCAGCACTACAAAAATAAGACTCCTTGCCCCCATAGGAAGCTAATTCTTTTTTCTTTGGTTCCTGGGATTGAACCCAGGGTGGGGGTTAACCACTGAGAAACATCCCTAACCCTTTAGAGGCAGGTCTGGCTAAGTTGTCCAGGCTGCCCTGGGATTGCTGCAGTCCTCCCTTGGTCTCTCCTGAGTCTCTGGGGATTACAGGCTTGAGCACCATGCCCAGCCTGGCCTAAGCTAATTCTTCAGATCAAAATAAGACTAGCATGTTGAATGGGAGGGTCAGGAGTGGGGGTAGAGAAAATCCTGGTCTCATGGATCTTACTCTGCTGCCCTCTGCAAACAGGACAAGCAGGGGTGAAAAGTGAATCCAGTTTCACTAGAGGATTATTCCTGGACACTCAGCTGTGACCCCAACTCCAGTCTATTTTCCATGTGCCTAATTTCTAGTGGCCAATGGTTTTGACATTAATGTTCCAATTTGGAAAATTTCCAATCCTAATGCTTCAGCTACAAAGACAATTTAGGGTTTTTACAGCCTTTCTCTGGGTTCCCATTTTCTTTGATCCCTGTTTCCAGTGGGCCTCCGATGGTGACCGGGAATGTGGGGACCTGCCGGTGCCCTAGCCATTGCTGAGGTCTGCATGAGAAGATGGCTCTCTGCACTCAAAATCCTCCAACCTCAGCCAGGTAGTTGGCCTTACAGGCATGTGCTACAACCCAGCTGAACATTATCTTTAGTAAACTGTTTTCTTGGGAAAAAAAAGGAATTGGTATATGGTAAGGAAGAGAGAAGAACTTTAAGAGCACAAAGATATCAATAAAGGATTTTCAACAACTGAACAATATGAATTGAAGAATAATTGAAAGTAAGGAATGATTTTGAAATCTCAATTTATCAGCATTTACAGTCCCCCACAAATTGCATTGAATTGCCTCAAAATAAATGAAAATAAACCTATGCCAATATAGGTTACAATGAAATTTTGGAGGGCAGGTAGAAAAGAAGAGATTCTGAACATTTCAAGAAGCAGGAAAAACAGCTTTGGAAGCTCAAAAATGTTGAAACAATATCATGCACACTCCAAGTAAACATATTGTCAACACAGAATTCTACTAAGTTAGAGTTGGAATGAGAGCTGGGGTGTCTGAAAGACATTTCAGATGTTTAGGGTTTTAATATTTTCTGTTCCATGTTCTTGTAGGATATGGCTAAATGAAGGGAGAAACAAAAATGATGGAGAAAATC